GGAATCCCCCCCGGGATAGGATATCCGCTAAGATATTACCGTAACGGACGTATAGGGGCGCCTTAAGAAGATAAAACCCTAGGCGGTACTAAGTCCTGATAGACTCCTAGTAGGGCTCTTAAAAGTATATAAACCCCCCCTATACTAAAGACTTAGTGCTATCTTTATAGCGTGCCTTAAAACGAGCTACTACCCGAAAAGGTACTACTATACTACTATAATAGTCCTTAAGAAGGAAGGCCGGCCGCCGGCCGACTACAGGATAGTAAAGGGCTAGCGACCGATATTACTCCTTAGTATAATAGATAAGGTCCTTAAGGGGATACTAGCCGATTAGATCGTAACTGTAGCGGAGGAGTATCGGCTCCTCCTAAAGGGATAGATAAGTAACCGGATAGAGCGAAGTATAAAGACGGTAGTATAAAAAGCTATAAAGGCTATAAGGGCGAGCTAGGCCTATAACGGTACTGCTTCGATACTCTAACTAAATATTAAAGGGGCCTTCGATACTATCCCTTATTCCCGCCTTATTAAGGTGCTTAAAAGGAAAGGCTACCCCTAGTAGCTTAATACCCTAATTAGTAGCTTCCTCCGGGACCGTATAACTTAACTACTACTTAATAGCGAAACGGCCACCCTATAGCACCTCTATAAGGGCGTACCGTAGGGCTACCCGATCTCTCCTATCCTCTTTAGCCTTTATATCTCCACCCTATACGAAAAGCTAAAAAGGGTCCCTAAAATAATAGTAGTAGGTTTTACCGATAATACGAATATTATCGCTTTTAGCAGGATAAAGGTATAGACGCGGTAACGCCTCTCCGCCGCGTAAAGGATATACCTAGACTAGGAGATTATAAGCGGACTATAATTCGAACTAGCTAAGTATATCTATATCCCTTTCACGAAGTCACGCTAACCCTTACCCACCCTGCTTCCCCTTAGCGCTACTTCGGTGCCGGCGGCGGAGGCGATAAGGCTCCTAGGCGTTTAGCTTAATAGGAAGCTTAACTTCCGATAAAACACTAAAAAGGTAAAAAGCCGATTAGCTACCTAAATATAGGCCCTCTTAAGGCTTAGCGCGGTAGTATAGGGGTATAGCTTCGTAAACGTAAAAAGACTATACCTTATAGTAATACGGCTAGTAATCGTCTATTACGCCTTAACCGTTTATAAGATAGGGGCCGGCCCCTAGTATAGCCTTATAGCGATATTTATAACGGTATAGAACCGGTGCCTCCGGTTAATAGCCGGAGCCTATAAAGCCACGCCGGTTAGGGTCCTTAAAAAAGAGACCTTTATCCCCCCCCTTAACCTATACCTCTTAAGCCTAAGTGCCCGGAAGGTCCGCCGGATATAAGAAGAGGGAACCGAAGATAAGATATTAGCCAGAGTATACGCCGTAGCGAGAGCTTTAGCGGCACCGAATCGGTACTATAGGACCTATACGGCCCTTGCGTGGATAGCCTAACTAAACGCCCTAATAACCTAGGCTGGAAACACGGCCTTAAGGAAAGCCCTTATAAGAGAATAGGGTTAAACCTAGGCGGAGGTATAGAGGCCCTATACCTATGCCGTAACGGCATTAAGCCGCCCCCCGATATAACGCTCCCTCCGGAAATATAGAGGACTCTTAAAGCTATAGAGTGCCGCACTTACCTAAATCAGATTAGAAAAGCTAGGCCTATAAGCCTTCTTAGTAAAAGTAAGGGTACCGGGATTCCCGATAATAAGGTGCCCTTACGATAATAGGGGGGCAGAAATAACGGAGTATAGAGTGCTTTAGTACTAGGATATAGCCGAGGAAAAGCGTAAAGAGCTCTTCGGCGCTATAGGGAGACTATTTATAACTAGAGGAGATCTATACGATATATTAGACTATAATACCGAAGCCGGAATAATAGCTAAGTGGTTCCTATAGCGGAAAAGGCTTAAGGACTTTCGCCTTACCCTTAAAGTTATAGAGGCTTACGAAAATAAAGATAATACCGAAGCGAGACCGGAGCGGAGACGGAACGGTATAGCGAATTAGTGGATTATCAATAGGGGTCCTATAAGCCGGGACCCCGGCGGTATTAGCTCGGCACTAATAGGGCGCTATTAGTTATCCTTATTTTTATCGCCCTCGGAGGTGCTAATACTACTTTTAACGTACTTAAGGTCTTATAGGGATTAGTTAGCTAATTATTACCACTAAGGGCCGTAATAGGGCTAAAAGGAGGCTACCTATAAAGTATTCTAAAATCAGGTCTATCTTACCCTTTAAACGCTTTATCTAGCGAGATAACTCCTATAACTCCGCCGACGCGGTGCCGCCGCGGCCGTGGCCGGAAGGTAATGCTCGGTTTAGGGCCCGGCTAAAAGACCGGGACGCTATCATTAGGCACTCCTTAGCCTAGAAACTTATTAGTAAGGGACTACCACGGCACTAAAAGAGGACGCTTATAGCAGCGATACCGTTATTATTAGCGGCCTTTACCACTATATACGCGTTATAGAGATCTATAAGATACTATTACTGTTTTTTAGTAGCGGAGGTGACCTATTAAGACGGTTAGGATACACTATTACGGTATACCCGCGGCACCACGGCGGCACTAGCACGACTTATATCCTTATATGGATACCGGCTATTAGTATACTAAAAATAGGCTATACTAGTACCTATAGTATTAGAATAGGCCTCTATATTATCTAGGTATATACCTAAGCGCTTACTATAACGAATATAACTGTCCTAAGTTAGCTATTACGGCACCGCCTTAATACCCCCGGGCTTTATATACGGTATAACACGGATTAAGCCCTTTTTATAACGGTTATAATTATTATTAGTATTAGCGTTATTATTAGGAGAAGATATCTACGACTATTAGCACGCTACCGTAAAGGTATTACTATGCCACGAAAAGAACTTATATTAAGCTGCTATTATTAATTACTTATATATATATAGATTATTATTATACTATCTAATTAACCCCACGCTACCACGCTACCGCGACGCTACCCGCGAGACACTTATAGTAAAACTATAAGGGGAAAACGACGAGAATCCTAAAGGGGTTTACTAGTTAGTATAAGCCGTAACGATAAACCTACAGGACCGTAAACAGGAATAGATCGGGAGGAAACCTATGATAAGGTTATTAGCGTTATAGGAGGAAGAGGGAGGTTTAAGGTATAAAGGCCTCGGGGGATATTAACTATCTAATTCTTATAATAAGGTGGAGTCTTACCCCCCCCTACTTACCGCCGGATATAGCAGGAACCCACCTAGGGGAGGTAGGAGGCGCCTACCTCCCCTACTCTCTTTATTAACCGAGTAGAAGGAATAAAAGGCACGATCCTCGGGGATATAGAGAGGCTAAGGCTAGAGGGCCGTGGCCTCCGTACCGCGGAGGCGTGGCGGCACCCCCTTAGCCCTTACTCCGTCGCTAACGATTAGCTTAGGCTAACCTACTAAACCACTAGCCTACTATACTTCCTATTAGCTATTAGCCTAGAGGTATAATCTAGATATATAGTAGAGACGAATCGGGGCTATATCGGCCCTGTAGCAGTACTACTCCACCTAAGGAAGTATATAGGGGTTTTCCCTGGGTTTTACCCGGGTTTTTCCCCCTATAGCCACCCGAGAAGGACCGTATAGCCTAGAAAGGCTCCTATAGATTAGTTAGGATAGCGGAGTAAGATCGATAATAATAATAATAATAATAATTATAACGATAGATTAATTAAAGGCTATAGCCGTTATGTAAATTAAAGGCTATAGCCGTTACGTAGATTAACACGTGCCGGATTATTAGCGGTTATAGTACCTGTTAGCACCTAGACTCTAGTCGGAATAACCTTACCCTATATACCGTACCGACTACGCGAAACTTACCTTAATAACGATAGCTTAAGGAAAGGAAAAGAGGAAAAGAGGAAAGAGAGAGGAAAAGAGGGAGGTTTATAAGAAAAGGGGGCGGTAAATTAGCCCTAGGAGCTACTATACCTACTAGGGAATAGTAGCCACGCCCGGCCTATATTATAGCGCCTACCCTAGAAAGCCTACGTAGTATAAGAAAGGGAGGTATATAACTATATAAGGGCTACTATAAATAGTAGGTATATAAAGGAGGTTTAGGAATAAATAATAAATAAAGGAAGGAGTAAAGGGGGGGTAGGCACGCCCCCGCCCTTATAAAAGGGAGGGAGGGTATAAAGAGTGCCGCGGCGAGGGGAAAATAACCTTACCGGATCCGGAATAAAGAAAAGGATAGCGGCGAGTAACCGTAGCGGTAGCGTACCGAGGGCGCGTATAACCCGATACGGCGCCTACTAAACTAACTAGCCGACCTCTATTACTTATTAGCCCGGAGGTAAGATCCGGTTTTCGAATAGCGATAAGAATAGGGCCACGGAGCGATACCGTAGCGGCTACGTATAATAAACCTTATATAAAAAGAGTATAGGGGTTTTTATCTATTAACGGTTTCCCCTCGAAAATTAGAGAAAGACTATTACCTAGGTGGCTAGCCTAGCTTAGCTAAGCGAGAGCAGAGTAATAAATAATAATAATAATAATAATAATAATATATTAGAAAATAGCCTAAAGTTTATAAGTACTACCATAAAACCCTTATAGTAAATATTTAGCATTTAAGATATTATTAAGTAATATATATAAGCCTATATAAAGATTTAGTAGGGGTATTTTACTTTTAGTTATATTATATAAACTAGAATATATAGTATTAGATACGTAGATATATATATTATAAAGCTCGAAGTTATTTCTAGTACTTATTTTATAGCTTTACCTATATCTATTAATTTATAATTAATATATTACTCTTTATTTAGGATTTTCTTATATAATATATAGTAATACTAATAAAATTAAATCTCTAACTTCTAAGCTATATTATAGCTTGTTTACTAAACCTATATCAAAACTATGAAGAGAATATTAGTACTTGACTTTTAATCCATATAGGGTTTTATTTTTATAATATTTACTCTTTTAGTCTATAAAATAGCAGGGGTCTAAAAAGCAGAGTTTTGGTGTAAAGTGGTATCCGAAACAGGGGTACGTCCTAGAAGGGGGGTGGGCACTTAATGCTTATGGTGTGTGTCTACTAATTTTTTGGGGTTTTTCTTAAGTTGTTACAGTGCCTCCTGTGATTTGCCGTAGTTCCGGTTACGCTGTATCTAACAGAGCTTGGGCCTTTGTGGCTGGCAACCCACGGCCAGCGCTGTGGAAAGCGAACAAACTGGAATCCGGTGCTTATAATAGCGTAGAATTCGAATCCGATCTCAGACTTGATTTGTATCGATAATACGGCACCTAGGGGTCACTTTTGGCTTGGATGATACTCTTTTGCTGTAAAATTGTAGGAAATATTCCGAGAGTAATAGCTAGTCCTGCTGAGTGCCTTTCGAGTCTCTGGACCTCTGTATATGCTGACGACGGATAACCCATAACGTGGCAGCAATTCCTAGCAGACAGGAGCTCAGCGTGACGAAGTAGGCCTCCGAGTAACACGCAAGACCCGCCCTACAGATGCGTTCACCATCGGTGCCGATGCTGCTATGTTGGTCGAAAACTCTGCCGTAAAACAGATTAAACATGTTGCCTGATATGACCGGCGCTAGGGTCATGTAGCCCCAGTTTTGACTGAGTCCATCCACGCCGAATGCCTCGGCTACAATGGAAGGGAAGACTCCGAAGAGAATGCCATATGCAAGGCCCGAGAGACTAGAAACCACACCCAGCCTATGTGGGTTGGTGATGTTGAAGGCGCATATTTGAGCCACGGAGAGGATGAGACTTGAAATAAAAAGACACCAGACACGACTGCGCTGCAGAACCCTGACTATGACGTCCGAACCGATGCCTGACTTCACTGGTCAATACCACGTCTCTTACAGACAATTAAGTTGTCGCAGCGACTCACCACTCAAGAGTCGACCAGCAAAGCTACATAGAGACAAGATGGAGACATGCATTTGCTGCTGTGACACCAAAAAGCCATTGCTCAGTGTGTTGTCCCAGTGCCGCCAAAGCGCATTGACGTTGTGGCCGGTGTTGCTAGACAGTAGCGTTAGGGGGAGGTTGCGATGATGAATAGGTACGGGGGAATATTGCGCGGAATACAAGACCAGCTAACTTACTTGATCGTCATCAATCCAACACCAGCAAGAATACCCATAATTGAAAATTGCTGCCAAAAATCGAATGTACGAATCAATCGAAATCCACGAATATCTGCACGAGGAGAACGATCCGTATCAATAGTGCTCTGCATAGAAGAATCATCGCCTCGCAAGGTAACAGAGTTCGGCACAAGATATGTCATCTCGTCTGGCTCGGAACTAACGGCCAAGGAAGGGCCTCGGTCTTCGTTCTGAACGACGCGTTCAATTGAGGCCTGGTACCCTGCATTCCTAGCTGCGATAATTGGATCGTGTCTATTAGATAACGTACCGATCTCAGTTGAAAAATCACGAGGGGCCTGGCGAGATACGTGTTGCTTCATAATCTCCTCGGAAGCTCTATGTAGCACTTCGGTGCTTGCTTGGTCAGACTGGGATATGGCATAATAGGCGGAGTGGGGAACGACGCGAAGGAAGAAGACGCCGCTGAAGGTCAAGCCAGAGGTTCCAATCGCAAGTAAGGCGAGAAACGCGCTCGTATCGCTTGGAAATAGTAGGCCCCCAAGGGTGGAAAAGAAAAACGCGCTCAGTCCGAAGGCCGCCAGCGGGAAGGCGGTTGCTGTGCCGCGGTGCCGCGGCCAGTTGAGTGCTGAAGTCTTGACGGCGGCCGCAAAGGCCATGCACGCTCCAAGCCCCGTCAAGAAAGAGAAGAGGCACAAGACAGCGACCGAACCAGTGGCATTATCGTAAGCCTGGTGCAACGGAAAATATCCCAGGCCCAACAAAAGAGCGCCGCAAACAACGGCGGGGCGCGGTCCTCGGTGGTCAACAAACATGCCAATCGGCACTCCTAGGGAATACATGCCCAGATTCCCTGCCGCCCCAACCAGATTGCTCTCGGTGGATGTGAGCTTGAGGCGATCGGCAAACTGGGGCGCCCATGCCGAGTACACATACTAATCGCAAGACGATCCCAGATTAGCAACGAGCGCAAAAAAAATCGGCACAATAGGGTATCATAGCAGGGCGGAAGTTCAGAGCATCTCTTACATTAGTACCACACGCAAGGGATATCGCCGTTGCTGCTATACTTGCAATGATGCGGGATTGGATGAGATTGGGCTGACTGCCTACATTCGCCGTCATGATGGACAGCTGAATGTCACGCAAGAAAAGGGAAACGGGTGTCGAGGCCTACTGGAGGTGATCACAGGCACGTCACGCTCTATGGTCAGCGGACAAACGAAACGGCCTCTACCACCGTTCATTAAGTGCGGCAGACCTTGAACCTCCAGTGAACAGAGACAGGTTAATATATGGCCCGACTGCGAGGATATCACGGTTCAATCTAAGGACTGTGTTTCTATAGGCGTAGTCCTCCTTCTAAAGTACTGTTCAACTTGGATCCTATCCCGTAATTGCCGATAGGTCTATAGTATTATAGGAAGACTTAACAGACTCCTAGTTTATAATAACAGGCCTTTACTAAGTAGAGTATAACCTATAAGTTCTCTTATATGTATTTAAATAGTCTATTACTATTTACTAAACTAGGGGTCTTGGCTATATAGGTATAATATATTATATTATCTTAGTTATATTATACTACTTATTATCTACTTTATCTAATATTAATATATATAAGCCTAGGACTATTATATTACATAAAAGCTATAAGACATATAAAAACTACTATAATAATAGTATAGGCTTATATATTAACCATACTACGAGTATAATACGCCTATTAACCACGGGCGCGTAATAAAAGTAAAATCGATAAAACTACTAAGATAGCGATTATAACTATCGCCTCCCTCCCGGGATACTATTATAACAGTACCGTAATATTAGCGTTATAGTATAGCCGGAAGAGTCGCGAAATATATCGCACGTCAAAATACACTCTTTTGACTCTTCTAACTTAGGGGAAATCTTCGCGTGTGTATATTATATTAAGTTATAACGTGTACAAGACGGTTTACCCTATTTTTATACGGGGCAGTACTCCTCCGGAAGTACTACTCTATTTAGATCCTATCCGGTATTTCACCGTGGGTCTACCCTTATTATTTCCCCCCCCCGAGGCCTATACCCACCACTAAGGCTCGTGCCTACCCTTAAGGCTCGTGCTAATATAACACACCCCCCTAGTTAGAGCGGATCCACTTTTCCGGGCCGACTAGCTAGTTAGAGGCCTCGGTTTAAACCGAATAGCTCTTGATCCTTTTTATTATAAAAAATAGCCTATCTTAAGAATAGTCCTCGAAAAGGCTCTTAAAAACGCTCTTAAACTAATCCTTTTAAATATTTAATTTAATCTTAATCCCCGGCTTCTAATTAGTCTGTTTAGGTTAATCGCCGCCTATTTAATCCTATTACGGGACGCTCTAGAAAAGCTCCTATAATAATAATAACGCGTTTAAATCCACCGCTTATAGGCGTAGTCGTTAGCTATATCTCCCGCGGGCGTAGCCGTTAATAGGTATCTTTTAGTAGTATCTCCGTAGTAATAGCGGTAGGATCCCTTTACTAAGGCGATAGATTAGATATCCCTTATAGACTTAAATAATACCTTAAGATCCTACGCGAGGTCCCTAATCAATAGCTTATTATTATTAATCCTTTACCTATTTATTACTATATATATATAATACTATTCCCGAGTACTAGAATATATCGCGGTAAGGGTATCTTCTACCTAATAATCTACTAAAGCTATCTATAAGAGTCTAGTTTAGACTATACGGTCTTTCTCGGGTAGCTATAGGGGGAAAAACCCGGGATCCCGGGGAAAACCTCTATACTTATCCTTAGTTAGAGTAGTGCCGTTACGGGGCCGATATAGCCCCGGTTCGCCCCGTCTATATATCTAGATTATACCTTTAGGCTAATAGCTAACGAGAAGGGTATTAGGCTATAGTTCGGGTTAGCCTAGGCCGGTTATTAATAAGGGGGCGGGGGCCGAAAGGGTACCGCGGCGTCTCCGCTATATAGCGGCCGCGGTATACTAACTACGGCCTCCCTATATCCCTAGGGGCTATGCCTATTATTCCTTCTATTTAATCAATAAAGAAAAGGCGAGGTAGGCGTTCCTGCCTCCTTTAGGGGGGG